TTGTTCCTAGTAGCTTCTTGTTACTACTAGTAAGGCACCTGTTACTACTAGCGTGACACTTGTTACTACTCCAATCGCCAGGTGCAATTTAGCCCCAACGGCTACAAGATTATCACAGCGTCCAGCGTGGGGCGAGCCCAGCCGTGTTGGAGCGGGTGCCGGGCCAAAGGCTTTGTGTGAGTTAAGTTGAGTTCCCTAAAACTCTGGGAACTGTTCATCAAGGAAGCTCCCCCTGCCCTCAGGCGGGGGGAGCTTTCTTCAAGAAGCATGAGCTATCCCTGTGTCCTAGCTAGGAGCGAACTTAGCCCTTCCTTGATTAAGTAGGTGCCTACTTAATGAAGTAGATGAGGGCAAAAAAAACAAAACAGAAAAAGCAAAAGGTGTGTGCGTGTGTGTCAACTGTCTCAGAGGAGAATTTAATCCCTGTTTGTACAGACCAGCAGGGGTGTACGGCTCGTCATACCTACCGTACGCAATGAAGCTACGGTATGACTGATCATCCACCTGTACCTGCTTATGCGTTCTGCTAAAACTCTAAGCAAAGCTCGAGCTGTCCCATGTGTTGTTTTGCTGTAAGTCAGTCAAGGTCTGAACTGCAGTAACTGCCTAGAACTCTAAGTAAAACTCAAGCTGTCTCATACGGTGTTTCGCGGTGAATCAGTCAAGGTCTAAATTGCAGTAACTCGGGAATTTCAAAACTGATAGAGCTCTTGCGAGCATGGATCGAGGTGTGTGTGTGTGTGACACCCTTGGAGTCACAGCGTTTCTTTTGAATTGGTTCTTCTCCTTGTTTTTCTTACCGCAGGGCTTTCTTTCTGCCGCCGCGGCCGCTGTGCGAGGGAGAGCGGAACCCGCCGGTCGGAGTGGGGAACCGGCAAATCATTTGCTCGAGGGAGCTTGACCGAACGAGCCAAAGGGAAGTCACTGCCTGTGGCTTACTAAAAGCGATTCTGCATTGACCATTTACAGCCTGGATTTGGGGAAGCACTCAACTTGTTGATTACAGCAGGGGGCCAGGACTCCCTGGCGCGTGTCCTGGCCAACGAAGACCGCACGCCAGGGAGGTGAAAACGTACCTGCTTTTGTTAAACTGTTGATTGGTTGCTGTGGCCCCTTGGTTTGTTTCATGGTGTTTCATGTACCTGGTGTTGGACTCCACTCCATTCCCTTGAGGATTTGAGGATTTCAGGCTCTTGGTTATCCTGTCCTCTTAGGTTTTTCACTTAGGCCGGCGTGTGGCAATCCGCAGCCGAATCAGCACGCATGTCAATAAGTGTGTGTCTCACAAAGTGGGGTCACCACCAAATGACAGCCAAACCATCACTTGGAACTTTGAAGCTTTTGAGCTTCATTTGGGCTGGAACGGCTAAAGCGGAACAATCTTTTGGAGCAACATGACTGTTTTTTGTATTCTTTTCAACCGCCTGGGGGTTGAACTTAGTCACGTTCATCTGTCTTTGTTGTTTGCTCAAAGCGCTTCAATTGACCTGCAGATTTGCTAGGCTACCCAGTTCTCACTAGTTTTGCTGGTGAGAAATACACCTGGAAGGAGTCCATCCACCGGTTCAATCTCCTTTGCTGTTGTGAACAAGATGAGAACCAGAACTAAAGACTAAAGAGGATAACCAGAACAAAAGTGGACATCAATGAGAAACACACTTTCAAGTAGATTTCAAAATGGCTGGAGAGTCAGAGAGTTTCTATCATTGGCAAGGGAACATTAACAAAGAAAACTCTACCGGTTGGGTTTGCTTATCTTAAGGGCCCCCTATTTGCCGAGAGACCCATATGCCCTTCTGCAGCCTTAGGACAGGACGTGTCGGCTGTGGTCAGTAGAAACAGGCGAATGCCTGCAGGCGGGGCAGGACTGCAGGACTGCTGGACGAAGCTGCCAACCTGCTTGTTGAGACTCCACGAAGACCAAGACATCCAGGGTTTAAGCTTAACACAACAAACTTTCTGCGTGGCCGTAGGGAGTTAGGATGATCTGAGAAACAAACGAAAACGGAATGTTTCTTGCTACTAATACTAGTAGCTTTTTAGTTACTAGTAGCGATGGCCTCCCACCTCCACCGTGCGTAGCTTCTCTTCCATGTTCCAGAACTGCTCACATCGCAACATCGGTTCAAGGCGTCAAGGCACGCGGTCGCGTTCCGCGACCGTCCGACGGGACACCGTCCCGCGGGACACCGGGCGCGACGGGAGTGTCGACCGGGGTGTCGACCGGGGTGTCGACCCGTGGAAGACCCCATGGCCGTGGCTCCCTTGGCCGTCGTCCCCGGGCCGAACCGGCTCAGTGAAGAGTCCCGGCCTCAACTGCCTTCTGCAATTCCGGCAGTTCCGGCGCTCCCCTTTGCTGGTGAGGACGAGGAACAGGATCCGAACCCCACGAAAGGGAGCCAAAGCAGGCGAGAAAAAAAACTTCGATCTGAAGCAGCATTGAAGGAGTTCCTGGAGAAGCATGGCTTTACAGACATCAATACACCGAAGATACTGAAGCGCAGTATCTTTCCACGACCTTCCTGCCTGTTTCCTGCGCCTGAACTGCTCTACCCTGTGCATGTGGCAGTTCAGGAGGGTGATGCTGAGGTCCTTGTAGCGCTACTGCGATCGGGTGCTGATCGGGAGCAGAAGACCTCTCGCGGTCGGACGCCCCTGGACCTGGCACTCGCCACGACGAAGAGCTCGGCGGCTCGACAGTCCCATTTGAGGATCATCGAAACCTTGGAGCAGAAAAAGATCCTTGGCCAAATCATCTCCGATCCATCCAGTCCCCACATGTCAATGTTTCACTTAATGTTATGTCAATGTGTTCCTTTTTTCCCTGTTTTTGTTCTTGATTTGGGGGAATTTGAACCGATCAATCCATCATCCCAAAAAGTGTTGCAAGTAGGAAAGAGAAGCGTGAACAACCTTTTGGAGGCCTGTGCTGTTCACAGATTGTGCTGTGCACAGATGTTCGCGGTCAATTCGGCCCCAGTTCTGAATCGGTCTCTGGTCCCCACTACTTCTAGTTTCTGACATGGCCAGCTTAACAGCAGGTCTACAAAAGGGGTGTTCATGATTGTAATATGATTATCATATCATATTATCCATTGGGGGAGCCTCCTACTATTGGAATACATATACCCATATTATCCCGTATCTTATGGTGGAGATGAGTTTATCTCAAAGTCATGAGGAGACCTCCCAAAGCCCCAAAACCTGCTTCGGGGACCCGCTCCGAGGAAGAGTATCTCTGTAGCTGAGCTGCAAGAGCTGCAAGACCTGCAATCATTGGCCGCATGAAGGCAACAATTTTAAAGACTGCGTTCATGGTCTTTTTGCAACTGAGGTTCCTGGACGAGAGAACTTCCTATTTTTTTTAGTTGCCGCCATTTTCCCCGAACCTCCACCTCACCTTCAGCATCTCTGCCAAGCAGAGATGGTGCAGCCGTGTGCTCGGACATGTCGATCCATCTGAGCGGATCACATCCGTCTCGTGCGGCAAAAGCAGGGCCTGTGTATGGCAAGGTTGAATCCCCTACCGGGAAATATTCAGGAACCGGCCAGAAAGTATATCACGAAAGGTAGCCCTTTAGGGGATACCTTGAGTTTGACTTGCGAAGCAAGTGTCGGCGAGTCCGGGTCTAATAATTGATCATTCAATTCAACCCCCCCCCACCCCCCCCCCTCGAATTGATTTTTCAATACGGACCCCCCCCGCCTTGGAATTGATTTTTCAATACAGACCCCCCCCCTCTAAATTCAATTCTCCGCTGGAGAACGTCTTCGTGAGCCTCTCATGATTTCAGGATAGTTGAAACCCTCTTGAACATTCAGAAAGAGTGCATATGAAATTCTAATTACGAAATGTGTTCTTGTTAAAATTCCATTCTCTCCTGCAGACCGTCTTCGTAAGCCTCTCATGATTTTAGGATAGTTGAAACCCTCTTGAACATTCAGAAAGAGCGCAGATTAAATTCTAATCACGACAGGTGTTCCCCGAAAGGATCGAAAGGTGTTCCCCGAGGGGAATACATACCTAGAGTTTATTTTGTAAAGCATGTCAATTCTTTCCTGGGGCCTCTTAATTCAATTCTTTTCTGGAGAACGTCTTCGTGAGCCTCTCATGATTTCAGGATAGTTGAAACTATCTTGAACATTCAGAAAGAGTGCATATGAAATTCTAATCACGAAAGGTGTTCCCCGAGGGGATACATACCTAGAGTTTGTTTTGTGAACCACGTCAATTCTCTCCTGGGGAACGTCTTCGTGAGCCTCTTAATTCAATTCTCTCCTGGAGAACGTCTTCGTGAGCCTCTCATGATTTCAGGATAGTTGAAACCCTCTTGAACATTCAGACAGAGTGCATATGAATGAAATCACGAAAGGTAGCCCTTTAGGGGATACCTTGAGTTTGTCTTGCGAAGCAAGTGTTGGGACGTCCGGGTCTAATAATTGA